AAACAGAACTGAAAGGTGTCTACGTGGTCGTGAATTAGTTATTTAGAACATGCTGTTTGATGACTTATTTTTTTTTAAGAGGAAAAAACTATTCCTGTACAACTATTAAGTTCTTTTATGAGTGCTTAGCACAGCAGATCCAGCAGCACTGTAAGTTCATAAAAGCAGCCACTTTTTAAGAAGAGTGTGTGCAGTTCTGTGCAGAAGGGTAATCAAAACTGTCACTTTGTACAATATAATGGAGCAGGACACTTGTCATCCTTGAGGCTAAGCTCGCTCAGCTACTGCAGCTAATACTGGAGATTTATTTAAATTAATCCGCAGGAAAATTAAATCCATTACCTTGAAAAGCAAAGGAATAAATCACACCCAACAGGAAAGCAGGAAAAGCTGCTGCCATTTCAGTCCAATCTCAGGTTGTGAGAGCGCATGAAATTTCCCCTCATCAGTGCCACAAAACCAATTCATAGCAGGAGAAATCACATCAGCTGTTGTTATAATGCACAAGGTAAATATGCTCGATGAGTTTAACACTGCAGCCCAAGTATGAAGAACATCTCAAGCTGTTTGTGTTTCCAAACAAGAGCTGAGGGGTCAGAGGACCTGTGGGCAGGCTGGAGTGATGGATGGTGGTCCACGGCACGCTGTGCTTGGGTCTGCTCTTGTTATTTTTGCAACAGGATGTCTCTGATTACTCCCCAAATCGAGAATAAGGACGGTTACGTCTCATTGCTCAAAGGGAACATTTTTTTCAGAGCCTTACAAATTAAATAGGACACTGTAAAGCAAGCACTCAATGAACTATCAGGTGCTGTTTGTCACCAATCTAGCAACAGCAGCAGAAGATTCCCTGAGGGCATCAGTGGTGGGTTTGGGGCTGGTAAATAAGGTGTGTGTCCTCTTGTCCCCATGTAGAGCAGATCCCAGCTCTGCAGAGTCCTCTTGCATCGCTGCCTGTACAGTTTGACAGGCCAAACAACATAAAATATATATAGCAGGGGCACACTGAGCCACTAAATAAAGATTTCAGCCATAAAGTTGGCACAATGTGGAGAGGGCTTCACAAAGGATGGAGGATAACTGTTTTTGCAAATCCCAGCCTTCCAGAGATCCTTGCAGAACTGGTTCCTGGCTCACAGGGTGCTGCCTGGAGTGATGGTCAGGTCAATGCTGCCTACCTCCAACACATCTTGAGTGTCACCAGTATGATAATGACACTGTCCCCAGCCAGACCTCAAAGACCATGATGGCGTTGACGCTCCACAGAGCATTTCTTTGAGAGCTCCTGAGGTTCCTCACTGATGCCAAAGGAAGATGCAAGTCCTTGGCAACATGTAGAAAAGGCTGAGCCACAGGGACTTGGGAGCAACACGAACGTGTGTGCAGGGAAAGGAACACACACAAGTTGCCAAGATGGGGGGGGGGGTTGTGGTGTTTTCTCAAAGCGAAGGCTTCGTGCAGAAAGGAGGGGGAGAAATGATGGAAGCAAGGTCAGTTAGAATGGACAACTGATCTTAAACCTGAATAAACTTGGGGCTGAAGCTGCAAGTGGAGGCCACAAAGTGAAACACATGGGAATAATTTCTCTACGACAACGTAATGTTTCCTAATGAGCCAGCTCCATCAATTAGCTGATCTAAAATAGAGACGCCAGCTCGGCCAGGGACAGGATGACTCAGTAACACCAAGGACCTCTCACTGGGGGTTACCAGTTTGATCCTGGCCCAAGCTCAAAGCGTCTAAGAATGGCCTTCGTGATGCCACAACCTCTGTAAGAAATGTCACTGGTCTCAGTGCCGAGTCTCCGTGGGCTGAAGTCCACATCAAAGCCACCAGCGAGAGACTTTCCAAGGAGGTGCAATGAGCCAACAGGATGGAGAATTAACAACATTCTCACTCTTCAAAAGGGATGTCAAGCCATACAAAACCTGCTACTTACAGCTTCGTAAGAACTACACAAAATAAATACAAAGGAGAGAAAAAGAGAGAGAGAGAAAGAGAGAGAAAGAGAGAGAGAGAAAGAGAGAAGCAGCAGCCCCATTTGCACTGGGTACCACAGATGTTGCAAACCAGCAGAATTAAAAAAGTGGCAAATATTTCATGGTATGATGCAGCTAAAGAGAAGAAAATGTCAAAACTCAAATGTCAAGACAAATTTTGGGTGAGAACTCTGTACATACCCCGAGCTCTCTGGATTCCTTCCCGGAGCCAAGACACCGCTCTCTTACGTACAATTTATTCATCCCCGACTTGTCTGTTTTTGACTAGTTTTAGCATAACCACTTAAGGGTTTTATTTAATCAGCCAGGAAGGAAAGAGTTCAAGGAACACCAGGGAATATGTGGCAAAATATTACAAGGTTAGATCACTTGCACTGGGTTATTCTCCTCTGGCACAACACAGAAGAAATAACCCCAGTCAAGGTCTGCACATTCAAGGGTCTACAGGGAACGAGAGCAGCATTATTCAAGGTAAGTGACACTTTAAAGAACTTTAAATTAGCTGTTGACAGTCAGGTAGATAGATTGATGAGTGATTACACGAAGTCCCCAACATTACCATTTTGTGGTGAAAGCAAATATGAAGAGAGGGGGAAGTAAGAAAATCCGTTAAATCTGGTTTTGCCGATCTGTGATGCATTCACGTGACAGCGAAGTTCGTTTAAGGACACCAGAAACTTCTAAACCAAACTGCTTTCTCGGAATCAATAGTTGACAGAAAGTTTCCTAGCTGTATTCCTGACTCCAGAACCACTGCAAGCCGTGTCAGTAGACTACGATAAAAAAAATAATAATAAAGAAAATCCCTCCCATCATCTTTCTTTCTTTCTAACAAGTGTTCCTTCTCCCAGGGCTGAAGGACCACATGAAGTGGAGCAGAAGAGCAGCTCACTTGAACTGCACAATTAGGCTGAGTGACTGGATGTACAACAGATGCCCTCACCGCAGTTGTCCCGAAAATATGTTTTTAAATAAAATTAACTCAACTCAGGAATCTGTAATTAGCACCGTCTTCAAGAACAACTCGGAACAAGTTTATTGAAGTGCTCTAACTATTTACAACGAGAGTGAATTTACCCCCGAGGTTCTCTTTACTATTTTGTCTCAATTTTCTTGTAATTTCATCCATCACATTTTTTTCAGTCCTCCAAAGGTGATGGATAAAACACAGAAATAAATAGGACCAACTGTTCGCAGAAGCCTAAGGGAAAACATAATTTTGTTATAAATAATCCTTGGCACAAATCATGGAAATGCAATACTAAAATTGTTTGTTGAATCATTTATGAATTGGGCCTTCAGTTTTAGTTTGCAAATGAGTTAGAGGTTTTTGTTGATGTTCTTTTTCACTTGCTTTTTTTAGCTGGAAAACAGCCTCTGAGAAACTGCACTGATATATAATCCAGAAAACAGAGTGAATGAAGGATTTATTTTATTTTAAAGGGAATCCCTATGCTAACCCAGGGCTTTTCTGAGGGGGGAAGAAGGGATTTACTGATAGAATCATAGAATTGTCTAGGTTGGAAGGCACTTTTAGGATCATCTAAGATGTCCAACCATCAACTTAACTCTGATAAAAACCATCACTAACCTATGTTTCTAAGCACTACGTCAACCAGTCTTTTAAATACCTCCAGGGATGGTGCCTCAACCACCACCCTGATGGATGATGATAAACTAAATTATGGCAAAATTTTACTTTATTTTCATAAGATGCCACCATCGTGAGTCTTTACCCCAGCTTTAGGCTGTGCATGTAGAAGAGGCAGACAACGCAGTGTCCTACAAAACCACTAAAAAAATGAGTTGTAGATATCTCTGCCAGGAGACTCAAATGAATGTTTGTGATATAATGGATAAATGTGACTCCTAAAACCAATATACACTTTTGTGTTTGTTCTTAGATGTGAAATTTTGAAGATTTGTTGTTACAAACCAATGCAAAAGTCCAGTGGAACAGATCCGTGTGCTACCAGGCTGTGCACACAGTCGTCACACAGGAAGAAATGCCCAACACGAGTGGAAATTCTGCTGTTTCGAGAAAGTCAATATTTTAAAAGACAAGTATGTCCTGGTTTGAGGTAAAACAGAACTAACTTTCTGTTCAGTAGTTTTACTTTTTTAGCTGGGCCTCTTCTAACGAACTAAACTCTGAAATTAACAGCATGTTGTGCAGAAACTGTTCACTCTCACAGTGATAAGACCTGATCATGCCAAGGGATGGTGAGCAGAGAGGCTCTTGTTCATACTCATTGCTGTAACAACCAAGGTCAGCCAATTTTTGTTATTTGCCCCATTGGAGGGTCAGAAACAGAAAAAGCATAGAGGGCTCACACCTGTGGGGAGAAGCAGACAGGAGAGGTGACCCAAACTGACCAACAGGGTATTCCATCCCATCTGCCCCATGCTCAGTCTAAAAGCTGAGGGATCAAAGGGTCAGTTCCTCTTCCTTCAATGGCCAACATCCAAAGAGGATTCTGTCTGTTCATCTGCCCTTGATCCCGATCTGTGTGTTCCTTACTCCAGAGCTGGAACCCAATTCCCATCTAGTGTTGAAGTCTCATCTGGGACTTCCCCAGTGCCTGCCAGTGACGTGGTTCTGGGAGCTTGATACGGTTTTGTATATATTGTATCTATTTCATTTTTTTTTTTTAATTTTAATATTAACACTTAATTAAAGTAGTATTTAGTTCATTCTGAACTTCTAAATCTCCTTATCTCTCCTCTCTTTTTCTTGGGGGGGTGGAGAAGGAGGTATCTGTCATTGTGATTGCTCAATCCGGTAAAAACCACAACAAGGTGATCACCCAAACTCCTCACGTGGAAATTACAAACATGAAGAAATAGTGAAGAACAGAGAGGGGCATTTCTTCCTTAAGTCTTTTGTCTGAAATTGCTATTTTTCCCCTCATCTGAAGAGAGAGAGAGGAGGTTGGAGACAGATAAAAGCAACGCGGAGCCGCATTTCTCATTAGCCGGCGCAGGTGTGCGCAGCCTTACCTGATCTGTCCTCGCACCAGTGGTCTGTTTTTTGTCCTGTTCATGTTTGAGTCAAACGGAACCTCAAAGAACTGTAATAAAAAAAAAAAAAAAAAAAAAAGACAAAACACAAGAGGAAGAATCAAAATGAAAGGATGCCGGAAAGCATGCCATGCATGGAATGTACTGTCTGCATCTGCAGGTGCTTTAATCTCTAGTTTTGAAGGTTCAGAAATAGAAGGAAAATGGCAAACTCCTTTTAGGGAGCTTTGATAATCTGCGTTAATGCTTTTGGCATCCCCTTAGAAAGAAAATCACCTGGAGGACAAAAATAGTTTGCGCAAGTCCCCAAAAGGGAATTATTTGAAGTAGTTTCGTTCCAAATTCTGTTCTCCACTGGATTGACACAGCTTTTCTACACACACAATCACACGCACGCACAGCCCTGCCCCCAGTTTTATATTAATACAAACAGCCCTTGCAAATGTTGTACTTCTGGTATTTAAAAGACTTCTGATCCAACTTCTGAGAACCTATAACCCACCCCAAAATCAATCAACTCGTGTAAAAGGCTACCGGAACTGCACCGAGCATCCCGTTGGAGCGGCGGGGACCGCACACGCCATATGGTGTTATTTAATGTCACAACCCAATTTGACTTTAAAACGCTGCCTCTGGGAAAATTCAGGCAGCACTATCTCCACGCTAGGAATTCCTGCAGCCTTCTGCAGGAGCTACTTCATAAAGAATGTCCCTGGAAAAGCTGAATGATGCACTTTGCCATCCAGCAAAATGCAAAGCCAATTAGTTTGACGTGTGCAAAATAATAATAAAAATAATAAGGGTGTATTTACTTATAGAAAAAGTAGGATGTATTTATAGAGAGAACATTTTCTACTGACGTTATGTCTGAGGTTTTGGGGTAGGATCCCAATTATGGTGAATATGTCGGAAAAGTACCATAACAAATCAGAGTTTGAAACAATCAGACTGACGGGCAGCTCAGTGCAGTCCAACTGCAGAGGGATTTCAGGTGACTATATGATAAACGACTACACGATAAAATCTATGTTATTCCAGCAAGCTGATGTAACCTTTTACACAACGAGAGACAAAAATGAACAAACATCATTTTGACAACGCCACGTTACTGGTCTTGCTACTTAATGGGGTTGCATTCACAGAATCACAGAATCTTCTAGGTTGGAAGGGACCTCAAAGATCACCTTGTCCAACTGTCAACCCAACTGACAAAAATAGACACCCACACAACAAACAAGAAGCATCCCCATCACTAAACCATACCTCCCAGCACTACATCAACCTGTCTTTTGAACACCTCCAGGGATGGTGCCTCAACCACCTCCCTGGGCAGCCCATTCCAATGGCTGAGAACCCTTTCAGTGAAAATTTTTTTCCTAATATCCAGCCTGAACCTCCCCTGGTGTAACTTGAGGCCATTTCCTCTTGTCCTGTCGCCTGTGACTTGGGAGAAGAGACCGACCCCCATCTCTCTACACCCTCCTTTCAGGGAGCTGGAGAGAGCAATAAGGTCTCCCTTCAGCCTCCTCTTCTCCAGGCTGAATAACCCCAGCTCCCTCAGCCTCTTCTCATAAGACTTGTGCTCCAGACCCCTCACCATCTTTGTCGCCCTTCTCTGGACCCGCTCCAGCACCTCGATGTCTTTTTTATGGTAGGGGGCCCAAAACTGGACACAGTACTCAAGGTGGGGCCTCACCAGCGCCCAGTACAGGGGGACCATCACCTCTCGGGCCCTACTCGCCACACTGTTCCTGACACAGGCCAGGATGCTGTTGGCCTTCTGGGCCGCCTGGGGAATGCCAGGGACAGGGACACCGGGACCCCATCGGAGCCCTACAGGTGCCCATCAGGGGAAAGATACTTCATTTATGGGCACAGAAAGATCCCAGGAACCACCTTCCCCATCTATTACTTTGAAATAATGACTAGATAATAAATCTGGGAACCTCTGCTGTTGCTCCTATGTACTGCAAGCGTGGCAGGTATCGGATACCCATGGACCCCCCTGCCTAATGCAGCCCATGACATTCTCCATCCATGGGGACATTTTCAACCTCAGGTTGCACCACCTTCCTGATGGATTTAACCTTTCCCAGGAAATAGGTTACAAGAAAATCCAGCACAGGTACAAGAGAGTGCATGCACGTGCTCAAGCCCACATGTTAAAGTTATCCTGCTTAAGCAAAACTTGCTAACTATGCTCTAAAGCCAAGAAATTTGGCAGCAGGCATCATCTTCATGTTTCATCATGCTTCTGAAACTGTCCAAAGCTGGGAAAGAACAAGACTTGAGCAGGTTTTTACTCTTCTCCCGAGTAACAAGCAATTGGACAAGAGGAAATGGCCTCAAGTTGCACCAGGGGAGGTTTAGGATGGATATTAGGAAAAATTTCTTCACTGAAAGGGTTGCCAAGCCTTGGAAGAGGCTGCCCAGAGCAGTGGTGGAGTCACCATCCCTGGAGGTATTTAAAAGCTGGGCAGATGTGGTGCTGAGGGACACGGGTTAGTGGTGGGGTTGGCAGTGTCGGGTTGATGGTTGGACTTTGATCTTAAAGGTCTCTTCCAACCTGGACAATTCTATGATCTGCAGCATAAACAGTCACTCCCAGATACAACCGAAGTCGGTGGAGACCCTGGTTCAGAAGAAGAGCCAAGAGGAGCCTGTGGGGTGGCCACAAGCCCCCAGGCCCGGAGCCTGGCAGGTCCCTGCCGAGGACAGGTCGGGTCCACGTGGCTCCAGCCTTGAAGCGCCCGATGCCACACAAAGAACCTCTATAGGAAACCCCAACCAGTACCTTCAGAGCAAGGAGAGCACCACGGCTGGATCCGAGACCAGTGATTGCTTCTGACAGCTCAGCATTTTGCTAATGGTTTGTTTCACTGTTACATTTCAGAGACAATTATGTTAAATGAAGAAAAAATGTCATTTGACATCCGACTGGTAGAGCAATACAAGGGAAAAATTCTATACAGCTAAAATCATTCCTCCTGAAAATATATTGAGCCCTGCTCAGTTTTGCTTTTTTTTTTTTTTAAATAAACAATTTTCCCTTTATTTCTGTTTGCAAAGTCTGAGTGCCATGAGCTCACTTCCAGTTTAAACTTGTGCCTGTGAGGAGATTCTGGCTCCTTTTGACAGTATTTAAGCTTGAGGATAAAGGTATTTATTCTGTGTGCGATGGATAAAATTCAGAATAATGCCCAAGTGTGAAACTCAGTGTGTCTCAAACACAAAATGACTGAAATGAAGAACAGTTGGATGCTAAACACTGTTGAATAAATCAAACTTATGCAGTTATCAGTATAACCTGACAATGCCATAAGGACTGTATGAAATATTTCCATATATTTACTATTGTAGCTAACCCCCTGAACAGAATATAAATTTTGAACGAGAAACTTCTCTGCTGAGTTAAGTAGACAAAAAATGTCCGTGTCTGTTGTATACAGACACGGCTGCTCCCGAAATTAAGATTACTGCATGACTGAAGTCTGAATTTTTTTCGCTTTTCTAAATCTGACAATCGGAATAATCTGTTCCTGTCAACTGTCCGCACGCAACTACGTATCCGATTGAACCACAGTTAAGAAAAAGCCTTTTATTAGCAATGCCCCGGATTCCTTCACTGAGCTCGTTGCCGTTACATGTCAGCAAGATGCCATTTATCAAACTTCTCCCATTTTGCTCCCAGATGTTCAGCAAAATTCTCTCTCCACTTGAAATTATTTTCCCCTGATATTCCAGAAAAAAAAAAAATGAAAAAAATGCGCATCTCAAATATCATTCCACAGGAGTGAAAGAGCGAAGTCAAACATATTATCTCATGCCAGGCCAAGCCAGTGCTGCCTGTTTCAGCAAACAGTAAATTCAGTAAGATGAATCCTGGATAAATAAATATTTCAGAAGCACTCAAGAGGCTTTTTCCCCAGGAAGCCTGACTGCATCGGTTCAGCTGGACGAGGCAGAATATTATCTGCCCTCAGTATTTGGGAAGCCAGCCACCAAAAGGACAGACAGAGGGTTAAATGGTTAAATCTACAGCATCTAAAAATCCTCGAGTGACAAAACTTGGCACCAGCTTTCAAGACCCTCACCGAAATTTTAATCAGTATGCAGGAACATTTCAAACACGATGATGGAAAAAAATAAATCAGGCCAGCCAGTACTTTGTGGTTTATTTCTCTGGCAGGCTCATCAGACTCTTTGTGTAGATCTCATCTAGTTAATATACGGTAATTATATCTTAAACATCTAACAATTCTTAGATTGGCTGTCACATTACTGCTTATAACTGTTTACACTCATGGGGGGTTTTTTTCCTTCAGCTTTTTCAGATTGGTTTCCACTTTGTTTTTAAGTGAAACGTTAAAGAACGTTTAATTTCTTCAAGCTACCTCCTGGAAGCAGCAGTGACTGCAGAGGGCAGCTAATCACCCAGCCTTCCTGCAGGGTGCAGAGATTAATAATTTTATTTAGATTAAGGCAGGATTCCCCCAGCATCACCTTGCAGATGGGGATGGCACCACGCTACGCTGGTACTTCGAGGACAGGAGATGGAGAGAGCAAGAGGGTGTCCTGGGCCTTTCCAGGAATGGGACATCCTCTTGCTCTTCCCATTTAACACCAACACCACCTATTAAGTTTTCGAAGGCCTGGGCCTTTCCAGGAATGGGACATCCTCTCGCTCTTCCCATAGCATCAGTTAAACACCAACACCACCTATTAACTTTTCAAAGACAGTGACCTGACTATTTGCAGCTAATTAATCCAGCGGAGTGGAGGGAAAGCCCTGGGCACGTGCTGCGTTTGCCATCCACGGTCATCCCACGGGAGAGATTTTAACCTCAGAATTATGACAGCTCAATACTTTCACTCCTGGCCACACAAAAACATAAACAGAGGGCATTAAGACGAACAATATGTCGTGGAGTTTATCAAACAGATCACCCACACTTAGGCTAGGAAAGGTCTCTCAGACAGGGCTTCGGATTTAGAGTGTATCGAGCACCAGCCTGGCCCCCATCCAGGGCCAGCTCTAATCGGTGACACG